CGGTCGAGTCGTTGCGGCTGCGCGTAGCAACGCACGCCACTGTATGCGTCGTCGATATGCTCGGATATATCCGTGCCTTACGAAATGCTGAGATGCTCAGCAATCTTAAAACACATGTTTGGGTCACTTCAAAGGCAACGGCTGCACTTGGCTTTGTCAAACGCTTCTGCCACGATAACGCCGATGTTACCACACTAAAATCGCTGTATTTTGCATTGGTTCAATCTCAACTCGATTACTGCGCCATGGTATGGCTTCCATTCCACAAAATCCACAGTGACAAAATTGAAGCCGTGCAACGCCAATTCACTTTGTACGCTCGTCCAGAATCCGCACACAACCAATACTCAATCACACCGTACGAGCAGCGATTGTCAGACTTGAACATGATTAGTCTTCGCCGTCGACGTGTCAACGCGTCATTGACTTTGTTTCACGACATCATCAACGGTAACGCTAACTGTCCAACAGTTAGTGACGAAGTCTCATTTAATCATGGGCGTTCATTGAGACACAGTGAACAATTCAAGGTCAATGACAAGCACATGAAGTTGGTGCGTGAAGCCCCAATTCCTCAAATGTGCAAAATGGCGAACATGGTGCCGGAACTGTTTACAGCAGTGACCTCAATTACGAATTTTGCATCATCGGTTCGCAGAATGGCGGACACCACTTTTGGATCGCTTTGCAAACTTAAATGACTACCTGGCCGCCTAGTCAACTTCTCATCCAGGTAACCTCATTTTTTTTATATGTTCTCCACGAGAACACCTTGATACTACCCACACTAATTATGGAATACGAATTTTCATGTTACCATAAAACCCGAGCATGATCTCTACATGGACGGGACCACCAATGACAACGCAGCATATTGCTCTTGTACCTCTCTGTGATGGGATGCAGCTGATTAAAAAACCCAACATGAACGTGGCAAGGATCCAAAACTCAAACCACCCGTTCGAAAATCGGCTCATCGTCTTGTTCGATAACACAAATTTTACTTTTCCGTACACAACGTGTCAAGGGAATGTATAGAAATTGATCCCGAAAACTTTTTTCGCAAAATTAGCTTAGATCATCATAAAAACTCATGAAACGCGTGGAAAACCACTTTTTGAGACACTTTTCCGTTCGTGTGCTGTCGTCGTTGTCGTCGTCGTAGCTGTTTGTTAACACGACAACTCAAAAAATAATTGAGATAATCAAAATCTGGAAATGCCAAAAGTTTTGTATTCGAAAAACTTAGTTTAAGTTTGAAGATGAGTCATTTTCGATTTGATCATGGGGTACTTGCCCTAAGAAAAACCTCAAAAAATTGACACTTTTGTATGGGTACCTGTAAATCGACTCTGATTGGCTTCAAACTTTCTATGATTTCATTTTTTGGGAGAAAAATAAGATTCTGAAAGTTTGAATTATCACAGCCGGCGACAGCAGGCGCGAGTGACGAAAGCACCTCTATGCTGAAAGTCGAACTCGCCTATATGTACACGAAATTTCGAACTTTTTTCCTAAGAGGCCATCTGGTATGAATGAAGTATCGCTAGAAAGCCCCTGGCTCATAGGCGCAGAAAATGCGTTCAAACTTGGGAATCGACGAACCGCCTCCATAGAAATAGCCACTTGAAAATTATGTACAATTATCAGTTTTTCCCATTTACCGGGTGTTGAACGCGGCCCGTTCATCTTGAAACATGTTTTTTCTGAGTCTACTCGTCGAGACTTTTCCAACAAGCCCAAGAACGTCGAAATTGGACCATCCGTTCATGAGTTATGACGATTAAAAAAATTTCTCGGCGTCTCCACCAATTATTCTGAGATAATATTTTTTCTGTCCGTCCGTCCGTCCGTCCGTCCGTCCGTGTGTCCGTAGTTTTTGCCCGATCTTTTTTAAACTTTCAGGCATTGAAGTATATCAAAAATTAAGACGTTTTTGTTCGGACATTTTTTGATTTGGCCGCCATCTTGGCCTTGGCCGGCCTTTGAAAATTCAAAATATGGCCTTCTTTCCAATGATCACTGTGCCTAACCCAGTCAACCGATTTCAAACTTTTGGGTATCGTTGGAAAGGTCTTAAGGCCAGCTATCAAATGACATCTACTTTAATCTGACAAAATTGAGTTGGCATGGTCTTATCGGGGCGTGGAAACGAAACTTCAAACGTATACTACGAGCCCAACGTAGTGAACGCAAGTATACTTTGACAGCGGATCTAGTACTACAATCGATGCTAGCCATTTCTCACACATTTTCATTGACGAGGCTGCCTTCGTACACGAGACTGCAACAATGATTGCAATCTCCGGTATTTATTTGACTAATTCAATTTATTTTTTAAGACTACACAATTTTTACAAATGTATTTTATACATTTAAAACAAAAACTTGCAATGTTCCATAATTATTTTCGCGCAAATTCTACCTTGCAAAGTACAGCACTTTTTTAGCATTTGTGCTACATAGTGAAATTCATTTGTATACACGGAACACGACAACACAACAATTTTCAAGTTCAAATTTCAATTACTCGCATTGAAAGTTTGATTCGATAGCGTATAATTCAAAATTTGAATTTAAAAATATTATGACGTCATGTACCGTGTATATATTTGAATTTAGTAGCACATATTCTACACATGTAAAGTTTACATTGTAAACTAAACTTTACAAAGTGGAATTTGAGGGAAAATAATTATAGAGAATGGCAAATTCTTGTTTTTAATATATAAAATATATGCGTAACAAGTGTAATGCCTTGCTACATACGCTGTATTATATACTATGCATCTGAAGTTCACTATGTAGTACTAGACTGGTTTTTTTTTCGACTTTTTTCGAATTTTACGTCACCAAATAGCGGTTCCCACAAAAAAAATAAACATATTTAGACCGTATAGCACTTAAATTCTTCGTTTGACATCCCTCTATGAGATTCCAGGAAGAAACTGTACCGCCCCAATCGATATAAGTCATTTTGAGCCCACCAAAGTCTCAAAAAGTAGCCAAATTCTCCTGGGGGAATATCACGCTCCTGAATCTTGTGAGATATTTGAGATATTTGAAATAAACATCAATTGTATGACATATTTTCGAATATTTCGAATAAATAAATCAGATTTTTGTGGATTTTGGAGATATTTGAGATTTTTTGCATTAAATCCGAAAAAATACATTTAAATATAACATAATCACAAAAATCCACAATTGTCCGCCGTATTCACAAATATCCACCATATTTCATACGACAGATTCTTAGAGATAAATTGAATTTTCTTGAAATATTTGAAATAATTTAAGCGTGATATTCCCCTAGAAATTCTCTTATTTTCCACTAAATTTTGTACAAAAAGTACTGTAACTTTGGATAGAGGTATGATATCAACACATGTTATGGCTTAAATAAAAGGTATTGAAGCCCACTTTTATATAAAATCTTGATGCAATGTGCTAAATTTGCAAAAGGTGTTCATTTTTGGGAAGAATAGCCTACAACATAAGCTAAAAATACACTTATCATTATAATAGTGATGAATTGCGAAAATAACATGTAAATCAACAAAAAAAAATGTAATTTTGATTATTTTTTGAGCCTATAAATCCACATACATCATTAGTTTGGTCACATCAAATCTAGTTATTAAGATATACCTCGAATATTGATTTTGTATATATTTGAAACATAGGTAGAGACTTCAAGCTCCAAAAATGAACACCTTTTGCAAATTTAGCACATTGCATCAAGATTTTATATAAAAGTGGGCTTCAATACCTTTTATTTAAGCCATAACATGTGTTGATATCATACCTCTATCCAAAGTTACAGTACTTTTTGTACAAAATTTAGTGGAAAATAAGAGAATTTGGCTACTTTTTGAGAATTTGGTGGGCCCAAAATGACTTATATCGATTGGGACAGTACAGTTTCTTCCTGGAATCTCATAGAGGGATGTCAAACGAAGAATTTAAGTGCTATACGGTCTAAATATGTTTATTTTTTTTGTGGGAATCTTCATTGAAGCGGTATAACCAAATAGAAAGTACAAGAAACTTTCGAAAACAATTGAGGAACAAAAACCAAACTTGCGCAAATGCAATCAATATGAAACTTTCAGAATCTCATTATTCCTCTAAAAAATGAAACCTCAGAAAATTTGAAGTCAATCAGAAGCGATTTACGGGTACCTCCCCTACAAAATTGTCGAAATTTTGCCTGAAATTACCCATTTTTCACTAAAAATGATCAAAAATCGATGTAAAATCAATTGAGTACTGTTTTTTTTATATTATATATGTTATGTTCTTTGACCACAAGGTGGAAAATATACTAAAACATGCGGTAAAGTTAAGGAAAAAAACCTTAAAATGCCAAAAATGGCGATTTTTGGCTATTTGAATAATAATAGCTCGGGCGCCAGGTCCCAATCCCAGGTTTTAGGGTAGTTTTTTGTTGGAATTTTCTTTTTGTATGATTCTTCAACAATTAAGCTATTTGGTGACGTAAAATTCGAAAAAGGTCGAAAAAAAAACCAGTCTAATGTAGTACACATTCTGCACATGTAAACTTTACTTTACAAGGTAGAATTTCTGATTTTTCAATGGAGAGTTTCTTCAATTTTTCTCTACTGGACTCGAATAGCTAATCCGATTGTTTTGGAATTACTATTGGCTACTGCCATGAGCAAAGAAATGAAGATCTGAGAGTTTGGTAGCAATCTGCAAATGTCTTCTTTTATTTTTGAGCTCGTTTCCATTCATTGATTCCTGGATTTTTCGTTCACTCATTTCACTTGAAATTCAGTCGATTCCACTGCTTTTCTTCCGATATAACTGCTATTTGGACATTGGAATTTTATTTTTGTATCACAAAAGTTATTTATGCCAAATTCCAAGTAAATTGGATAAAAACTTGAGGAACCTCTCTATTGAAAAATTGATCATTTTTACTTGTAAAGTATAGTTTACAATACAATGCATCGAGCGTAGAGACTTTGAAGCAGGGAATAAGACTTCTATTCCAGTAAACAGTAGAATGTATTCAGATTGGGATTTGTTCGACAAAGTTTTATTTTTAATGTTTACGGCACATATGTTTATGGAAAACAACTCCCGACAAAACGTGACAAAATAAACCTCACTTCAATTTTATTTTGATTATTCAAAATGTCAAAAATATGAACAATAAATAAAGAAAAATGGTGGCAAATGCTAATTGTACTAGTTTCAATCAGTTTATTCTAGTACGTTATATACTGGGAGATCAACAAAACATGCTGTTTAGCAATGCTAAACGTAAAATCACGCAAAATTGAACATTCATTTAACATTTCATTCAATTTATTTGGATAATTTTTATATAGAAAATGAAGTTCCTAGACATGGGTTTTAATGGCCTAGTTTGAGTAGAATTTACAATGGCATGAGAAAACAAATTGAAAAATCCAGGAAACATTGAACGGAAAAGTGGTAAAAAGTATTAGAACTTATCTTAACGAGTTTTAGATTCAAATAATGTTCATTGAAAAAGGAATTTGAAAAAAAAACATTTGAAAAAAATGCGAAAGTATTATTCAAAAACATTTACAGGAAATCATAAAGCAACTGAAGATATTTTTCATTTTTGTTGGGAAACGTAATAGATCGTAATAGATACTACGTGGGGCGCGTAGTTACTTGTGGCAGCACACAGAACATAACTACGCGTTTCTGGGCCCCGGGTCTTATGGGCAGAAACCCAAAAAAGTGGTCACCTGGCCTTGCATAAATCGGCCATTTTCTCAAAAACGGCTCCGACGATTTTTTTAAAAATTCTCTGGAATTTAGCCCCAAGTTAGAGCTAAAATTTGACATATAGCTTATATCTGGGAAAACTCTGTTTTTTTAGATATAGCCATTGGAAGTTGGAAAAAACATGAAAAATCGACAAAAATCAACTAAAACTCATTTTTGTTGCCGTTAACAATGGCAAAATCATAACCAAAGTGTTTTTGCGTTCAGATGAATAAAATTCCTTCAGATACCAGCCCCTCACCAAGTCTTTTCATTCCACTGGAGTTCTTTCAAAAATCGTATATCTTTTGTGATCAGATTTTGAAGAAGAAACAGTCAAAGACGATCAAACTATTGTGAGTATATGAGAGTGTCATACGATTTACAAAATGAAATGCGTGAAGAATCTTTATATTCACTCAACCGAGACGCTATTCCAAGCTAATCTATTAGATTTACTTTTGATAAAATTGGCGATACTACTTATGTGTGACTAGAAATGGGGCAATAGTTTGTTTCCTTCGTGTGCCAATGAATTTGCATTTTTTCTAAATCAATTTCCTAATCACGACACTGTTCATTATTATCAAGGGTGAATACAACATAACAAATTTCAAAGGTTTCATTCGAACGATATCATTTTTTCTGTAAATCAAAGTCGTTTGAATTGTGTGTATGTGGATTTTGTGTGATACTTTAATTTGAAGCATTTCGATGAACTATGCTTAGAGATATTCTAGGTATTGAGAAACCTTTTAAAGTATACAAAACGAAAGTTCTATTCAATTCATTGTGAGTTGGCACATCTATCAACAATACGGATACGCAACTGTTTGGCAGCCTCGGGAGATTCCTGTAACAGATAAAAAATACATTTGAAATATCCATATGCAAAATGGGAACGTACACAATTTTTTTTCTTCTGCCATACCGAATCCAATTTTTTCAAGAAACTAAACGCATTTAAACCGATTCCAACCGCTTCTTTGGCAATACATCTGAAAAATGTATTCAAAATAAATGATGAATGAATGACGTATTCCTTTTCCTTGTTCCATTCAAATCGAGTGAATGACATTTTTTTCGCTTACTTTTTAAGTGTGAAGCCCGTCGACTTGAGACACAGGAATAGATTATTGACATTTTTCACCGATTGTCCTTGAATATCATGCCATATCTGGCCGCAATTAAATTCACTAGCAATGCCATCCATTACATCAACCGCACATTTTACTATTCCAACAATATCATTCTCTGCTGGCTCAACGGCATTTGATAGACCTACAATTGCAAACAAAGCAACAGACGCACTTCATGGTGGAATAAAATTGGCAAAGAAAACGAATGCTTTCGAAAAAAGCGAATTAATCGAATTAGTATTATCGAATGAACTGGTTGATTTTCGGTATTTTGCATATCATTTCATGTACACACTGTGCAGTGTGCCCAGAACAAAACACTTTTTATATCAAATTGATTGTAGGACTGATTGCCAATCTTCAACATAAGCCCCAAAGTGTTATTTCGATTTAAGCATCGTGAGCTCATGACGCAAATCCAAATGGTTGTTTTCGTCCATTCGAAAGTATTTCTTCAACAAGATTGTTTTTGCAGATTGTTTGGATATAAAGTATTTTCACAGTAGAGATAACATTTAACGGCATTTCAATTAAATAATGAAGAACAAACACGAAACAAAGAACGCAAGCGTGAGCTTCAGACGATGTTCATGTTTTCTCACATCTGTTTCAGTTCGAATTTTGAATATGCACAGGGATCATATTTTGTCCGGACATTTTGCGAACGGACGAACGGACGGACGGACCAAACTCAATCCGAAACGGACGGACAAACGGACGGACGGACCAAACTCAATTTTAAACGGACATGTTACCATAACAAACGGACGGACAAAGGGACGGACGGACGGACAATTTTTTCTTCAGCTATCATAACTTCCAACCGCCTTGGCCGATTGCGTTCAAATTCGGCCAGATTTTGTAAGTCTATGATCCCTCGGACCTGATAACTTTTGGACCAAATCGGATCAATCTGGATTTTTGAAATTAAATTTTTGAATAATGTTCTTTGGGCCTAATATTGAAATTTTAAATATATTTTTCAATTTGAATTTCGTAAAGTATCATTTCGAAATTCGAACCCATTTTCGAGAATTCATAGTTCAATCTAGAAGTCATCTTCGGGAAAGTACAGATAAATCCCGTGTATCATCCTCCACTTGAATTGTATTTACATTGAAGGGAGTTGCACGCAACTTAACATTCATAATATAAAGTTAATATGTGTGGAGACACCTTAAGAAAAATGACACAGATTGTTAGTACTACGGTTAATCTGTACTTTTGTTTTTGATATTCGAAATTATTTCCAAAAATTCAATTTTTTGACTTGGAACTCCATTTCGAACAAATTTTCTTTCGAAAATCGTCATTTCGAAATTGCAACTCAGTTTCGAAAATAATCATTTGAAATTATACAGGACATATTAGCGGTAATAGTAAGCGGAAAAGGATTAGATTTAGTGTGTAGTCATTAGTCTAGATAGTGATAATGCTGTAGTTACGAATCCACTAAAAAAAATTTACATGTTTGTTTGTTAACAAATGTAAGGAGTTGAACTGAATTTCATTTGCGCACCTTGACTGTTAGTGTTTTTCAACACAAATCAAAAGAGAACATTCATCAAATATTCGAAAATTATTCGAATTGAACGATTAATGGTCAAAAAGGAAGATTTACATTTTCGATAAAATATTGCGAGTTGCTGGAACGTGTCCATTTTTTTAACAACTTTTCTGAAAATTGTGGTGCATGGCAGTCGGAAAATCGAAAAAATACGAAAATCTGCTGGATGTCTACACTCTAGCGTTTTTTTGTTTTGAATATTTATAATTTTTGGACCGAATCGGACCCAACCTGGATTTTCGAAAGAACACCGAAAGTCGCTGATGAAGGAATTGAACTACACATTTATTTATATTGTAAGGGAGAATCACTCATTGCGTCCTTCTTCAAAAAAATAATTTTCGAATAATGTTTTTTTAGCCTAATATTGAAATTCCAAGTTATTTCGAAATTCGAATATATTCGAATTTAAGTTATTTCGAAAATTTTGTTTTCGATAATCGAAATTATTTTTGACTTAGATCTCATTTTCGAACAATTCTAATTTCGAAACTCGTCATTTCGAAATCACAACTCATTTTCCAAAATTTATAGATCGATTTAGAACTCGTTTTCCGAAATGTTTATTTTCGAAATTCGAAATTATTTTCGAAAATTCATTTTTTTGACTTGGAACTCATTTTCGAACAATTTTATTTTTGTTTGAGCGATACAAAGTTCGACAGCAAACAATTTGGTTTTGTCTAATGTTTTTGAAAGGCTTTAAAAGTAACTAAAAGTACACAGAGAAAACTGAGTTAATTTTTACGTAGCAAAATGTTTGAAAGTGCCAAATTCCAACACATGTTGAGTTTTTCGCAACAAATGTTTTTTCCATATTGACTCAAATATTTGTCAAATTAGACACCAGCTCCCTTACATCGTGTCTAATGGAAATTGGCGCCCAATTCGAAAATTAGACACCAGAGCTACCATTCTCAGCAGCGACAAGTAGAGCTGTTCGGCTGCTTTCGCAAAAAAAACAACAATACCGTCAGAGACAAATACCAATTTCGAACTGATAATTACATAATAGAGAATATGAATAACACAATGACGATTGGAATGGATGATTCAACGCGTTGTTTTTTCTTAATCTAATTATACGTCAAACGAATGTTAAATGAAACGTTACATTTTGTATTTTCTAAAATGCAACAAATTCGTCATGAATGGTTTGAATCAATTGAGTTTTGGTTATTTTGGCCTGGATTCTTTGTTACATTGATGGAAAATGCATCAAACGGTGCTTTGTATGTCGAATAGTGAGAATGAAACATTGAAAAGAAATTTAGTTTCAATCTTACCTTGTGTCATGGTTCCCTTTACTTTGCCAGCCAACGCACGTCCATCACCACATTCAATTTGCTTCAAGTTGAAAAATAGGAACACATATATGGTTCTTAGTTTGGAATAACCAAATTGAATGAATTGAAATGTAAAATTAATGGATTTTTGAAACAAAAAAAAACATTTGCCAATATAACATGGTGGATTGACATTGCTTTAAATTTGGGGTAATTAATCGCGTGGTATATTTTTTTTGGTTTTCCTTCGTTTTCAAAAAGTCAATTTGTATGGAAAATGAAAAAATACTCTTCATGTCATCGATCGACACAATACAAAAAATATACAGAAAAATTTGTAAGTTACCATGAATTGGTCTCCCAAAACCGCAACCAGAACCAAACAAACTAAACGGAGAGAAAATATTGATTAAAAGACAATGAGCGACTGAAATCTCAAGTATTATCACAAATGAAAATTTAAAAAAAAATGAAGGAAAAAAAAACTTAGACGAGACTCACCCATCAATTGCTTAGACATGTTTATTGTCGATACACTTGAATGATAACTAAATTTCCACGATTTTGGTGCCTCATTTATAGTCAAAAATTAGATCTTGTAAACATGTCATCATTATGATACGTACAGCAAAACAAAATTCCTTAGGACTGAAATCAAAAACAAATTATTTGAAAATATGTTTTTAATTCGAGCTTCTTGCGTCAACTTCCGCGTTTCTTTATGGGTGCAAATGTTTGGATATGTAAATGAACTCGTATTGACGCACAAATTTTTCTGGCTGATTTCAAAAACAAATTATTTTTTGACTATTTGTTCCTCATTGGAGCTTGTGGTTCCTAGTTATGAAAAATTCCAGGCGAATAATGAGTTCATTTATAATCAAAACACCTGCACCTGTGTATTCCAACCACCAATAATTGGAAAAATAACAAAACGCGAGAATTGACGCAAGAAGATCGAATTAAAAACATCTTTTCAAATAATTTGTTTTCGAATTCAGTCGTAAGCAATTTTGTTTTGTTGTACGTGTCATGATTTCATGCATTTTCAGTCAAGTCGATTTTTAAATCAAATATTTGTGATACTTACATGAATCTCCGGGACTTCTTAGAGTCTTCGGGGAAGCCACATTTGCCACTTTATCTAAATATTATTGTGCGTAGCACATTTTTGTACACGATTAAAAGCATCCCGTGTGCGAATAAAGTGACTGACAGTCATTCAGTTGTATGTAGCTGCAAATAACAAAAACTGGATAAGTTGATTGAATTCAAGAATGTTGAAACAATCACTTTTAGTTTTTCTTTCAGCCAGCCGTCTAATTTCGGACTTTTTGGCTACTAGATGACTATAACTGAAGTTGACTACAGTCGAATATTTTGTTCGAGATAATCACTTTTAGTTACTGATAGTCAGTCAAAAAGTCCGAAATTAGACGGCTGGCTAGTCAGTCACAAATTTTTCACACGGGATACTTCCACTCAACCGATTTGGCTCGCACTTATACCAATCGAAAGGTAATGTAACGTAGATTTGCAGAAAAATACTAAACACTCAAAAATGTCAGTGCGTATTTGAGTTACGCACGTTTATGTGAGCATGTGTTTTTGGATCTGTTCATTTTTTTCAAGTTTTTGGATCGTTCGACACCAAAATTGTGGTTTTTCATGCTTTTATGAGTTGGTAGTTCTATCCCAGGAAATTTGACATAGTTAATTTAATAATTCTTAGAAAAATAAAGAACATCAAAAGTGATCCCGACTTAAAAATGTAATAGGTAGTAGCATTACGTTAACGAAAATTTCCTGTAATGTAACTACAATTATAATCACAGCCGGCGACAGCAGGCTCGAGTGACGAAAGCACCTCTGTGCTGAAAGTCGAACTCGCCTATATATACACGCAATTTCGAACTTTTTTCCTAAGAGGCCATCTGGTATGAATGAAGTATCGCTAGAAAGCCCCTGGCTCATAGGCCCAGAAAATACATTCAAACTCGGGAATCGACCAACCGCCTCCATAGAAATAGCCACTTGAAAATTATGTACAATTATCAGTTTTTCAAATTTACCGGGTGTTGAACGCGGCCCGTTCATCTTGAAACATGTTTTTTCTGAGTCTACTCGTCGAGACTTTTCCAACAAGCCCAAGAACGTCGAAATTGGGCCATATATTCATGAGTTATGACGATTTAAAAATTTTCTTTGGCGTCTCCACCAATTATTCTGAGATAATATTTTTAGATGAATATTCAAATCTTGGCAAATTTGCCGAAATGTCTTCGGGTGGGGCGATTTCAATTGTAGATTTTATGTAGTTTAATGTAGTGTATTTACTTTTTTTATATAGGAACAATTTTTTTGAGTAATCGGCTATCGAAAAACCGCTCCAAAATGGGGATACTCAAATCTTGGTCAAAAAACGTATTTTCCACAAATCGAATTTTTTTCGAATGAAGAATGGTTCCAAAAAATTGTAGATAAATTTTAGAATTCAAATCAATTGTCTGTTTTCAAATATGTCTGCCCGTTCGTTCGATATCGGGACGAGTCATGAAAATTGGTCCAAAATCGGTAATACTCAAATCTTGGCCCCAAATCGAACTTTCCACAAA